AACACAGCCTATTACATTTTGGATATATTTTCGGTATTGGCAAGGTCTTATATGCAGTTCAGAATTTGTTGGATAGTAATATAGGACATGTAAATTAGTTCATGTAGTAGAGGCAGAGCTGTTTAAGAAGTTGCAGAGTTTTTTCATTTCTGTTTAAAAAAAAAAATAATCACAAACCAAAACAAAATAGAACAGCATGCTTCCCATGGCAGAGAGGAGAGGGCTTACTGTATGACTACTGACTTAGCAACAGTGCCTCTTTTTCATTAATGAACTTCAAGCCTTATAGCACCTCTTCTAGGCAAACTATCCTGTTGCCTCCTTCTTTGCCTCCTGGTAAGCATCTTCCGTATTCCTAAGCTTGTGTGTATAAAACTGAATTTTGTTTTTCCACCACATGATGTCGGTGATACTTAGTACAGCTTCTCTGAGATGGCGTATGTTGTAATTTGAGCCCAGGGGTTTGCTCACTTTGGATCAGTAAAGAAATCAAACGAGCAAAAGTTGTCTTTCTGCCTCAGATCTCTAAAGATTTGCAGTTGCCTGAAGAGAGTAAGACCAGATGCCACCTGTGTTAAAAATGTTTCTCTTCTTTTAAAAGATTCAAATCTCTGGGCTAAATTCACCTGTGATACAACCTCATGAATAGAATCAGACTGTGACCAGCAGGACGTGTGTCTTTAATTGTTTGTCTCCTGCGGTAGCATGTGAGCATAGGTACATTTCTTGAGGTACAGAGAAAGGGAGAAGTATATGTGAATTATGCTTCAGAGGCTTGCTGCATTATTCAAGATACATCATTTTATTACGGACCTGAGCAACACATGGGACAACTGATTTATTGCTATTGTCATATTTTACATAATGAATGTTTTACACAGAAGATTTTACTGCTTGTATTTTAAAAGGTACAGGGCAATTCTTTGGAAAATGCCAGTCTAAGCTTATTTTTAAGGAAAGTAGAATTTTACGTACAAGCAAAAATACTCTATTTGTGTTTTGGTATACAAGCCATATACTTAATAAATAATTGAAAGAATCTCATGATCTGATCCAGTACTCTTCTATTAGCATCTTATTTGGGGTAGAGGCTAGAAAGCAAAAATAGTGGTACGCCTTAAAATACAATACCATTCCTTTCTGTAATAGCATTTTTATTATATGATAGACAGTATTTGTAAGTAATTGTGTATAGAAGGTGACTGATAAACATCAGAAACATCAAGTTCAAATCGTTTTGCAGCAATGACTGGTTGTGATTGAACACGAAGGATGGGATTCATCTTGTTCTAACACAGTAAGCCTAATGACTAGTCTAAGGCTAAATGACAATCTATGATCAGTGCCTAAGAGCGGTGGCTTGAGTTGCTCCCTGGAGAAGACGACCAGGCAACTACCTTAGATATCGAAAACCAAGTATTAGACACTTCAAGTCTAAGAGAAGTAACTGCCAGTAGACTAGTTTGCCATTAAAACTGGAAAGTGAATCACCTGAATGGAAAACCACAATCTTTTCATTTCAGTGTGCTGTTGCAGATCCTCATTTGCACTGGCTTTGATTGCCATCTCCCGGGTTCCTACCCTGATGAAATCTCCATGTTAGCAATAAATTCCCTCTTGCTGTCTGCTGGAGAGTCCAGCCAGTGGAGGAGAATGGCAGACCACGGATTTTAATATTCAGTTCCCCAAACACAAGATGAAATATGTTAGCTATTCACTGAAGCAGTTCCCTTTTTGGTCCAGTGTTGAAGCTGATCTAATTCTCCCTTTTTTTTTAAAAAAAAAAAAAAGAAAAAAGCAAAAAAGAAAAAGGTTAAGGCTTAGATATTTGGGGATTTGATCTTTAAATTAGCAACTTGAAGCAGTCCATTTGTACTTGTCGCTGCTGTTTCATTACCCGTTCCACTGCTTCCATAGTGTGGGCGGAATATTCCTTCATGAAGCTGAAACTTGCTGTCTTTTCTCAAAGACCCTAATGAAGATAAATTTTGCAGTCAGCAGTTGTTTTCTTTCCAAGAATTCTTCCTAATTTTGTACTTTGTGGATGGTTCCTGCTACATTAGATATCTTTTTCCTTTGAGTGCAGTGATCCAAAAATCAAGCAAATAAGAGCTATAAGATGTGGAAGAGTGCGGCACAACTTTGTTTATAGCCTTCCTAAAGCAACCTTTCCATAAGCTGGCATTTGGTTACATGGGACATAGGGCAGAGCTGCAGTTTGCTGGAGGGTTGGCTGAATCGGTCATGCTGGAATCCCTTTGCCTGTTGCTGCTCTGGACACGAGTGGTATATCTGCACAGCTAGAAGGGCTTTTCCATCCCTAATTCTTTGCATGAGGGAATTCTAGGGGTCAAAGCAGTTCATAACTACCGTGAGGTGCTTGCATGTCTGATGATGTCCTGAAAAATCAGCCTCACTAAACCCCCTTTGAGCTTAAGGTCAATGTAAGTAGGACTGAATTTCCTCCAGATGGGAAAAAACCCACAGCTGACCCATGACTGAGTTTAAATTCTCATCTGTACAACAGTTTTAGAGTGAAAACTGAAGTTCTGACTGAGTAAGAAGCTGGCGAGTGCTGAGTTAGACCATACCAACCTGAAAGAAATGATCTGAAATCACTGGAACTAAGCTTAGTTGTTTGCAGTCTGCATGGTTTTTAGACCATGTCTAGTCCAAGGCAGTAGTTTGAGAAAGTTTCTTTAATTTGTGATTGAAGTGCATTTATCTCCAAAGGTTACCAAGCTAGACACTGCGACAGAGTAGGTTTTATCTGCTAATGAAATTAATCAGAGAGAGTCATTGTTTCTATTTTGACTTCACCGTAGGATGTGGTTCTCCATCTTGTCCTGCTAGGAGTAGATAGTTAGTGAAGAACAGGACTGGATCTTCTGTTGACAGGCTCATTTCTTTTTACTGCCATGTATTGGATGAAACTTGGCCCCTTGCACAAATCCTTGTCACAGCTCCCCTGACACTGCAGAATCCAAACTTCCTCTGTGGCATTAAGATGGGATGTCTGTTGCCAGGTGCACTGGGTGAGGACCAGAGTCTTTTAGCTCAGGATCCTGCCTCCAACAGCAGCCAGTAGTGGCTGCCTGGGGCGCAGTACAGTCACCACGTCAGAGACTCTGTGGTATCTACCTGATTATTGGCCTCCCAGCTCCTAGCATTCACCATTTTGTGGAGTGTTGGAGAAGGAGGAAGAACAGTATCTAATACCCCTTCCAGATTTATCTTGAATTAATTTGTCTAACCATTTTTTGATTCCACTTGGGCTTTTAACCTCTTTATTGCTGGGAGGCAATGAATTTTGTAACTCACTACATGTTCTGTGGAAAAGTACTTCTTGTTTTCCACTGCTTCTAAATTTCCCTGTGATAATTTCTATGCATTCCCACTAGTTCTTGTGTTATGAGAAGCAGTAAATAATAACTCCCTGTCCAGCTTCTCTGTGCTATTCATGATTTATAGACCACTGTCAAATTCCCCTTCTTTCCCTGGCTGAAAAGTCAGGTTCTGTTTACTCTTAGCTCACACAAATCTATGTCATTCAAAGTGCTGTATAAGCAGTTGTGGTAATTAAAAGAGGTGGATTAAACATACACCTTAGAGACTTTGAAGCACTGAGAATTTGTGGCTATAGCTGACATTATTGGAAGGCATCTTCAGGCTGAAATTCAGGGCCTTAGTTTACAGATATGGAGAAATCAATAAGGACACTTACAAAGGGATTCCGCTATGTTTGAGCTGGAGAACAACATCAAGCCATGTGATAGGCATTCTGCAAATCTCTGCTCCATTCAAATGCTGCCAAACATTTATTGTCTGTGTTGAATATAAGCAACCAGGCTTTCTGAAATGATCACCCAGAAAAATCACTGTACAGTAACTTGAATGGTATTTAGTTTTACCCTCCCAAGGATCAAGGACCGTTTCATGCTGGCACAAGTTTTTGGGAGTTAAGGGGCTTTGAATGCAAAATGCAAAGACTTTGGTGCCACCAATGGACTGTCTATTCCTGTACCCCAGGAACTGAGAATCTGCTGAAGGGGAATGTTTTTAGGAGCAAATCTATTCATACACGAGTCTCAAATTATCTTCAGTAGCATGCTCAGCCAAATCATAAAAAGAATACAAGTACACATTAATTAAGAATTAACATAATTCTGTTCCTTGAGATTGGTGTTTATTAAAATATAAACTCTGTGAACATACACTTGAGAGGAAGATTCTAAATATTTTTAAAAGCTTAATTTTCAGTCACCCTTCATTTATTTTTTCATTGAGAGAAGAAAGAAGATGGCACTTGACTTTCTAAAACTTTCCATTTGCTTCTCAGATATAGCATCAAAAAGTTGCTGAGTGTCCTTAACTCTGCTGATAGGGCAGAATCAGGAATGATTGAGATTTATATGAAAAGCAGAGATATGGGATGACATTTTCAAAAGCGCCCAAAAGCTGCATTTGTGAATCTGTTCAGACAACTGAAGGACCAAGAAGAAAATATGTAAAGGGATTTTCAGGCATATATGCTGACCATTAATGCATTTTCACATTTGAATTTTGAGAAATTTACATTCTTAGGCATTGAAATGCTTTTAGAAATCTGACCATTTGCTGTAGTACAACAAGAGAGTTTTTGAAAAATAATTCTATGATGGAAGACTCAAGTGTCTGGTCACTTCCACCACTGTTTGGAACACAGGATGTAACCTTTGTCCTGCCACACCAAGTAGCATAACATCTAAATACTCTTACGAGTGTTGGTGAACAGACCCTCGGTAGTAACCTGAGTTCTCACACCACCTCACAATTAGCCACACTTTTTGGAAATACTAATAGTCCTCAGGAGGCTTTGCACTCCATAAAGCATCTTTCCCCAGGCTTGCTGGTGTGGTAAATGGCACAGCCCAACAGGGACTGGTTTGTGTCCTGTTCACAGAACGAAGAGAACAAATCCATTTTTCTGCTGACTTACTGAACTTCCTTGTGTTTTTCAGAATGCCAAAGCCAGCTATGACTTCAGCAGTAACGATCCCTACCCCTACCCCCGCTATACAGATGACTGGTTTAACAGGTAAATGGATTTTGATCAGCTGGCTCTTCACTTTGATTTGCTTAAGAAATTGTAAGTATTTGCTGATATTTGTGGAATGCCTGTTTTCTGCTAAATTCAAAAGTTGCCAGAGCAGAAGCTGCAGTCTCACTATTGCTTGAAAATTAGAGGTTATTTACGACTTCATTATTTAGATAACCTCTAAATAGCACCGAATAACCATTTTATAGTTTATAAATGAAGTTGCTGCTTCAGAAGAGTATATATTTAAACCATTTGAATGGGTGATAGCCACATACCTTTTTCTGTCAGCTATCTTACAACATTATGGTAACCAAACCTGTATAGACTGGTTTCCCATCTACTGTGTCTGAGGCAGTATCGCTGCTAGCTAATTTTAAGGGGAGCAAGCTGAAAATAGAAAAAGGCTTTGGGGTGAAAAAAGTCTTTTCATCCAACTGTAGACTCAGAAGGCAGAAAAGCAGCATGGTGTAGAATGACCAGTTTAAAAACAATTAAATTTTAAGTTCTGAATCATTTATCTGCTTTTTCACCTTGAGTTAAGGGAAGTATACATGGGTAGCATTTCAGGGCTGATTCTGAGGTATTTCTAGCTGCTAGAGGAATTAAAGTACGTACACTGACTGGGAACCTGTTCTGTTGTGTTTACGAACCTGGAATCAGCAGTGCAGCTGTGCTTGTTGTGTTATTTCTCCTGAACACATCCTGATTGCCCAAGACCAGCTTCTTCCTCAGTATGTTTTGAATTTAGCCAGTTTCCAGCAGCAGTTCTGTTTCTCAGTGTATGGTATAAATAAGAATGACCCAGAAGACAAGGCTTCAGATTTTAGAAAGTGTGACTATTTTTGTTTCCCTGAACAATTTTTTTTCTTAAAGTGGAACAGAAACACATTTTGACATTTTTTTTGAAAATCACATGTGCCTTGAGTTCTGCATCTGTCCCATGAAAGGCCCTTTCTGTCAGGCTCCTAGCAAGATGTTAATGTACTCAAGAGTGCAGAGTCCAAGGCACACCTATAACGTGGGTTTACTACCTGGTGATCTCAGCGTCCAACATCTCTGGCTGTGCACCATATTCCCCAGGGTCTCAGGCAGGTTATGGCTTGGATTTACAAAAATTGTTCCAGGATATTTACAATGACATTTCCAAATGCCTTCTAGATGGGTAAGTATAATTGATGTTGCCGCTTTTACATAGCAGCACCACTGAGGATTTGAAAACTCTTACAGGTTTCAGGGGTCAGTGTTCTTATCAAAAATTATTTCAGGCCTGTTTGATGTGGTTTTCATCTCTAACTTAGTATGGCTATATGGATGGCCTCTGAGTTTTGTGGGGGTTTTTTTTGTTTTTATTTCTAAAGAAATCAATTTTAGTTCTGTCAGAATGACACAACAAAGAAGTGGAGCAGCTGTGCTTCCAGCTCAGACACAGGCTTCCTGGGATGGATCAAACAGATTTAGGAGCTGTGATGTCCTCCTTTGAAGTCCTTTTTCAGCCAAAGCAAGATGCCAGTGAGATTTCTCCTTTATTTCCGGAAAGGACATCTGACACTTTTAAACTGGTATGAATCCAATTAGTGAATGGAAAGTTGGAGGAAGACTAGGGCTCTAATTTGTGAAGGTCTACTGCCTTTATCGCTTTATTTATGCAAAGGAGTTTTGTAGGAGAAAGATGTCACTTAGCTCTGGAGCAGCACAGAGGAAAATTAAATTTAGCTTTAGTGCGTAATGGTAGCTTCTGTCATTTTCAGTGTGGAACTTCATAAAACTAAGTGTGTTCTGCCAAGCCCCATTAACACTGATTGCGCTGCTATCAAGTATTTTGTAGTGGGGCACAGTTTGTAGTCCTCACACGTTCTGCAAGGTGGCCCTGGAGGCAGAGTTACCTCCTGAAGTTTCTTAAAAGGGACTACAGGCATCCCAGATGTGGCAAGGGTTATAATCGCTGGCCTCAGGTGCCTCTGGCTAACTTCAAGCACCCAGTGAAGAATTGAGGGTGAGCAGGACGGTCACCTGTGACCCGATCTGTAATTATTGAGAACATATGATTCAGGTTTTTAAAGAACTACGCCACTTTCTTTTATTTCTTTTGTTGAGACAATGGAGAGCTTAAGTCAGCAAGTCAGGAGGAGCAAAGCGATGCAGAAATTGCTTTGCAGATTTCCTTCATTATTCTTTTCAGAAAAAAAATGATGCCTAGAAAGTATAGCATTCTTTGTCACAAACCTTGATGTCTCTTGGGTGAGACAGGGAATTTTCTGCCTTGCAAGGTAAATCGCGGGAGCAACACATCCCTTTCCTGCCTGCACAACTTGAGAAGGCTTTAAAATTCAAGATTTCATGCTTTCTCCAGGCTAAGATGCAAACCAATATACCATATCTAGCTGTTCAGGAGTAGTTGTGACTATGTTTTTCTCTGCATATTTCTTTGCTATGCTGTTAATCAAGCTGATGTGCTCATATATAATCTATTGTCATAACTTCTGACTCCTGAATTGTTATTACTGGTAGGTTACAACTGTTTGCCTGTGACAGTCTGTCTTCTCCATATGTGTAGCTGCGCAGGTGCGTCTGGATAGAGAGTAGTTACACAGAAAAGCCATTCAGAGAAACCTGCAATAAAGTCTCCATTTTGCTCAGTTTGCAGTCAGTGATCTATCTCCCATTGAATTTTATGCATGCAGGAGGATCAGACTCAAAATAGGATCGCGTAATATCCCTTTTTCCATAAAGAATACATTTCTATGTGAGCAATTCAAGTGATTTGTGGAACAAGAAGCAGAGGACTGTTTTTTAAAGAGATGTACCAAGGGGCTTTTGTGAGCTGCCAGCTGCATGTGCAAAGTGTCATTAGACTTTAAGAAAAAAAGGGAGAGGTTTTTGCATGGAGTATTTCATTAATCACAGCTGCTCTGCTTGTAAGCACAGACTCCCCTTCCACTTCATGATTTTTAAGGCTGCTGGAAGCACTTTGGCCTTTCCATCCAACAGCCACTGGCCCATGAAACCAAGCAGGGTGGGTTTTTGGAGAGTGTGATGCCTCAGGCAGGGAATTTCAGTCAGGCTGCTGTTACCAGGAGAGTCACACCGATGCCTGGCAGCCAAGGGATTTGTTCCGTGCTTACCATACTGACTGCTTGACTGTGTCTAGACCCACAGCTTGGGTACCAGGATAGAGGGTATACTGGGCACAACACCGGGCAGGGCTGTGTTTAAGCCTGAGGAGCAGTGAAGCACCCTGATCCAAGCCCTGTTCCCAAAAGTAGAGGCAGCCCACAGCACTCAGAGTGTGCTTTAGGAACCACTTGGGGAGCTGCCTGTGATTTTTTTTTTTTTTTTTTTTAAACACCCACTCCTCCTGAACCACATTCAGTACCTTGGCATGTACCGTGCAGTGCGGAGGTACACGTAGGAGTCAGCAATAGCTTGCCCTGATTTCTTGTTGTGAGCATGCAGAAGGCATGACAGGGCTCCCTATCTCAGAGCACTGAGATTATGAATTTCTGCCATGATATAAATAACCACTAATTGTTTCCGTTCCTGTAGCCTTTGTATTCTCTCACTCAGATAAGAGTTAGGTGGGCAAAAATTATTCACTGTCTTGGAAACCTGTTTTTTTCAGAGATAAAAATGTCCTTTACTTGTTATGGATCCTAATAAAATACCGTTGAGTCAAGGAAAGAACTCCCCTTGACTTCCAGACAGCATTCATTAACAGTTAAAACGTCTGCTCCCCCCTCCTCATTTTTCATTCGATAATAATTATAATAAGCAGATTTAGCAGCTCTTTCTACCTGCAGTGTTACCACACAGGTTTCATGTAGGAGCCACAGCACTACTGCTGGTTACTGGCATGTTTTGATGCAGGCAGAGTGGCACATTTCCCCAAAGTAGGGGAACGCTTTCCCTTGGGCTCAGAAGCTGACAGTGTCATCTGAGTAAAAAGGGGATGGCATGGGCCCCACAGAAGCGTCCCTCTGAGCTTTGAATGTTTAACTGCTGCCCAGTGTAAGCAACTAAAGTGGTTAAGATAGGCAGATCATCCCAGCTATTGAGACTGCAGCTCTGCATAGCCCTTCCCTGTGGACAGCTGAAGTTAGGAAGGGTGGATCCTGTCCTTTGCTGTCTGCAGAAGCATTACAAAGCAGATGAACCTCGGTGAAAATCTGTGCCACCTCTGACTCTTTTTAAAAATATGTCGATAGAAGGGTAGGCACCATAGCATTGGCAGTGGCTTTTAGAAATAGAAATAGTTTTCAAAGACAAAGCAGAGTAAAATTTTCATAACTAGTACAGATATGTGATTAAACCAGCTGAAGGCAAGACTGTTTTTCAATTGAATCACCCTCTCCCACCTTAGTTTTTCATGGATGTTCCTGTAAAATGCTTGCATTATGGAAAACTTGCTCTGTATGCTAATACATGACTTGCTCTACATGCTAATATATGGCTTACCTTTGAAGTAACTTGTTCACAGGTGAAAATATTCTTAATTGTTTTCTATCCCTTTGTTTTAAACATTGAAATAATGGTGAAGAGGTAAATGTTGGAGAAAAAAGCTGTGATTTGTGCCTATGACATGGGTCACTTCATAGAAACGACAATGGGTTTATCAATGATACATGAACAGCAAATAGGGCTAAATTGGAGAAGTCTGGTATTTGCCATTAATAATTCAACCAAATGCATTTCCACTAACTCACATGTGATTTTTATTTTTTTTTTCTCCACTCAGCAGCATGGTATCTAAACCCTGAGCTGCTGGAACAAATCTGCTTGCAGTCTGCATCATGTGGGCCAGTGTGCTGGGGAGGCAGTGTCAGGGGGAGGACCTCCTGATAAAATATTTTCAGCAGGAAGGTCCTAATACAGTTTTTCCCTCTGAGAGAGAAAAAGCACACCTGATAGTGTCAGTTTTTTGCACCCCAGCATCAGTCAAGTCAATTTTTTAACAAAGCCATTTATTCTGCTTTGTGCCTTGTAGCTAGCCCACAGGTGACTAGATAATGAATGCTTAGCAACTGTATATGTTTTTTCACAGTTCCTTGAACAAGGGCATGAGGGAAAATGTGCTTGTTGAAAGAAATTCCTCCAGCAGCTGAATCTGTATCACTCTCCTCTCTGCCCCCTTTGTAAAAGGAACTTGCACGAGATCTTCACCCTTTCACGATCAAGGCACTGTGTACATTTGAGGCCAGTCATTTTCTTTCATGGAGCTACCTTTAAAAGTATTCTTCCAAGTACAGCAGGAAAAAGAATGTGTTGCTTCTCACCTCTTTATTAATGTTACACTCACCTTTGCCAGAGGTGCCTAAAGGGAGAGAGAGAGAGAGAGAGAGAAAAAAGATGATTAAAACAAAACAATTCTGCTGCCTCCTGGTATGGTTCACCTGGCACTCCATATAGCCTTTATAATACAGCATAGCTAATTGCTTGAATCCTTAACATACTATAGGAGTAAGGCCAGTTTTAATGCACAAAGTAGATTGATGTGAGCAGTAGGATGGATCCATATTGATTCAACATCTTAAACTTAAAAAACCCCAGGTTTTGCTAGTTTCTCTACTGCTGTGCTATTTTTTTTTTAATTAGATTGTATTGTCCATATTTATCTTCTCTGTGGTTTAATTTCTGTGATGAATTACGAGAAAGGAAAATGCAGTCTGCCTTCCTGCAGGACTGCCTCAGTGCCACTGCCAGTTAAAGGGTCTCTGCAAACCACTATAAAGCACTTCAGAGACACCAAGTGTTCTTGAGGTGCCACAAGTCAGCCCGAATCTGGACCTCCCTGTCACAGCAGAGACATTTCCCACTTGAGCAGAAAGCAGCAGTTCCGTGAGCTGGGAGCTGGAGCACCTTGTCAACTCTCTTGGGAGTTAGGCACTGGAGGATGCCCGTGGCCTGAGGTCCGGACAGGCCACAGCTCTGCTGTTGAGGAGTGCAGTGACCCTTGTGGCTTCCTTCTGCTACTCCAGCTTGATATTGCACCCACCTCCTTCCACAGCATTGCTTCTGTGGGCAGCGGTATGCTCCTTGCACGTGTTTGAATGGCCTTCATGCTGTGGGGTTCAAAATAATGGGTGTCACGCTGTCAAGTCACAAAAATAAAGGAGTTAATATTGAGTGTATTTTTACACTGTTCTGTCAAGGGCCTGTTTCTACTGACTAATAGTTGTTAACAAGGCAGAACCTGTTTGACAGAGTTAAAAAAAAGAAAGGTCTGAATACCTTCACAACTAAATGAAGCGTAAGTATGCATTTTAACCTCGGAGCAAGCATCGCTCATACTGTAGAGGGGCAGTTGATTATCTCCTGCTCCAGGAAGGAGTGAGCTCATCCGAGTATCCAAATACAGCACTCAACAGTTCACCATGGATCGGTTTGCCTCTGAAGTACTGGGAGCTGACTGAAGCAAAACCAGGACCACAGCGATCCAGCTCCGTTCAGCATGTGTATTAGCTGGGGTTCACCTGGTGTCTCTGTCTTCCATTTTGCAGCCATGGGACAAGGTGTGCAGGAGAGGTGTCGGCTGCTGCCAACAACAACATCTGCGGCGTGGGAGTTGCGTACAACTCCAAGGTGGCAGGTACGGTAGCAACTCAAGGTGTAAATGGTCCTTACGCCACTGTGCCATAGGCAGAACTTGTCCTGCAGAGACAGGGAGCGTTGCCCAGGACAGGACTACAGGCTGGCATTGGGCCATGTGTTTATTATTTTTCACAGTAGCTGGGGAGAGGAATTTCTCCATGGCTTTGCCTTTTCAACTGAGGGCTTTATATAGCCTCTTTAATAACATTGCAGAGGAACAGCTCTGCTCCTTCTTATGCCAACTCCTGTTTGTAGACTGATTTTTCAGTGCTTCTTCCCTGCGTAGCTGCAGAATCATTTGTGACAAATCTCATTTTGCAGGAGGTAAAATACAAATTCCTGCTGCACTTAGAAACTGCTTGAAAAGGCAAATCCCGTGCTGCTCTTACTCTTCAGGCTCTCACTGGGCAGGGCCTGCAGTGCTGTAAATCTGTGCTCACTGGTTTCCTCTGTTTTAACAAGCGATGCAGAGTGGCAGGAGTGGATGCACAGAATGAAATGGGGGATGCCTAGCACCCAGCATTCACACCTCGGGTGTGTTGGGTATTTTTACTTCTAACTAGCTCTTGTCTGTGCCGATAGACGGGATACAGTGCTTGGAGTGACTTAGGCACTTGGACAGCATGCGTTGGTTTAGTTTAATCTGAAGAAATCCAGTTTTCCTGCTCTTAAGACTGTTCCATGATGAGAAAGAACCACGGCACAGCAATATACTTGTGTTCCACTTTCATTTGCTGATCCACACTAAAACACCAGTGTGGGTGCACCCATTGCTTCCTGGGTATGGTTCACAGTGTGTGTGCATGGGCAGCTCTGCTCTGCTTGGCCAGTCCCTGTTTCACAGAATCACAGAATCATCTTGGTTGGAAAAGACCTTGAAGATCATCCAGTCCAACCGTTGACCTCACCCTGACCGTTCTCAACTCTACCAGATCCCTCAGTGCTGGGTCAACCCAACTTGGGACGGGGACTCCACCCCTGCCCTGGGCAGCCCTTTCCAACGTCCAACAACCCCTTCTGGAAAGAAATGCTCCCTAATTTCTAGTCTAAACCTTCCCTGGCACAACTTGAGGCCATTCCCTTTTGTCCTGTCACTTGTTACTTGGTTCAAGAGACTCACACCCCCCCCCTCTGCACCCTCCTTTCAGGTAGCTGTAGAGGGCGATGAGGTCTCCCCTCAGCCTCCTCTTCTCCAGACTAAACACCCCCAGTTCCTTCAGCCACTCCTTGTAAGACCTGTCCTCTCTTTCACTGCAGTGTCAGAAGAATTTGGGGAAGGCTACACTTCACCTGTCACCTAGATGACTGAAAGCTGAATGTCTGCTCCAGAAGGGCACCAAGCAATGTTTGCTAAGCTGTTACCCCAAGAAATACCACTGAGACTTAGTAACTGACCCAGCAGATCTAGTGCTTGTTCCCTTCAGTAGTGGTAATGTCCCCTTCAGGGATGGGACGTCGCACAAAATTTGCATTCCAGCAACAGCTACTCTTAGAGGACGATGCATTGAGACATATTTTGGCTAGACCTCACCTGTATGATTAGTATAACTCCTCAACTCCAAGCTGGTTGCTTAAAAGTCAAGAGGTTGAAGGCCTTTACTGATGACCAACAGCCTACAAATAATCTTTGATATTTGTCCACTTCGTAGCAAAATCCCCCCCGATTTTTGGAAGTGCCAGCCTTTCCTGCCCGAGGACAGCATGCACCTGTAGCTCCACCACCTGGTCAGCACGAACGTGGGCGCTCATTAGAGCTGAGTCTGCTGCTGGCAGGAGTCAGGGTCCATGTGTGCAAGTTGGTAGCCAAGGGGCATTGTGTGTTTTGCTTCTTGTACCTCTTTTTTGCCCTAAAGTTAAACCAGATGGCTTCGCTTCTTCTGTTTTTCCCCTCCTCCCTGGGGTCGATAACTAATTCTGTGGTTTCAGTGCAGATCTGCATTTTACAAGCATGTGACGGAATTTCTCACTCATTGAGTTTAACTTCATAATTTCTAGCTTGAATTAGCAGATCAGGAATATATCCAGCTTTGGTCTGGTTTATATTTGAAGTTTATACCACTTTTTTCAGCCTTACATTTGGCACATGGATTTTGTGTGGAATATAGTAAAAGCACTGGCTTCTAAATCAGGGTCCTCGCTGCCATTCATACTGTTTGGCTCTGTGGTATTGATTTCTTCCCATCTGTGTCCTCAAACTGTTGGGAAAAACTGAGCTTCAAATCAAGGCTACAAATGAGAGTTGGAATGTATCACTGGTTAGTCAGGCCTGTCAGTGAAACTGTCCTATGTGTGGGGTGTGATGGATGTGAGGGCTTGTGCTGCTATCTTTGTCACGCTCTCTGGCTTGCTTAGGGCCAACGCTTGGAGGTTCTACGAAGTTGGCATGTCCTAGGACTGTATCGTTTAAACTCTTAACTTGTGCTGCAGTATGGGTTAAAGGATGCAGCTTTTAGTTTGCTTTTTTCTCCAAATACTGGCCATATTTTGCTATTGCGTCTGCATGTTGACACAATGATATCTTTCCAGGAAATTGTTGTGTAGTGTGTTTTCCCCTCTGATTAGATTCTGGAAGAGAACCAAAATAAACAGAAAAATTACTTGAAAAACTAATGAAGTGTCAGCGCATCACTGACTATAAATTAGAGATGGATAACAACTTCCCTAGTTGTTACAAAATACTATTTTAAATACAATTAATATTACTTAAATGATAGGAAATGCTGAGATTGCTGAATACTACTGTTTTAAAAGTGTTTTCAAATAGTAGATCAAAAATACAGTGTAATCAGAAAGGTAACAATAAAATGCTTTTTCTTTCTGGGCCACGCTGCATTGCTGTGGCTGGGCGTTTAAGTGCTGCCATCCTGCTGGGTAAGCACAGCCTGGTGAAATGGGAATGGTGAGTGCAGAATCACGGAGTGGGTGAAGCTGCCAGTGAATTAAAATACCTGTAACAGGGGGACTTCTCCAGGTGCTGAGATTTCGTCTTGTGCTGCATAATGCAAAATTTATGTTTATATTGATTAAATCTACAGGTATTCGAATGCTTGACCAGCCATTTATGACAGATATTATCGAGGCTTCCTCTATCAGTCATATGCCTCAAGTCATAGATATATATAGTGCCAGCTGGGGACCAACTGATAATGGAAAGACTGTGGATGGACCTAGAGAGCTAACACTGCAAGCAATGGCAGATGGTGTGAACAAGGTAACAGTCTTATTAAATAATCTGGATATTGGGGCAGGATGATATGTACACACACTGAAACCAATGACTTGGGAATACGTGTTCCTCCCATAGATATTGTGGAACACAATGCAGTTGTGTAAACTGTCCCAGCTTTCAGCATGTTCCAAGGTTCATCGATATGCTCTCTGCAATATTGGTGGCATTGCTTTTATTGTATAGTCTTGGGGTAATGTGCTGTCTTGCACGGAACTGTGTTTATCTCTGGTCAGCTTACATACACTTTTCATATGCCATCGCAGTCAAAATGGAAGCGCCTGATCCTGTAAATATTCCCCAGGTTGAAACATGCCAGCTGTACTACTGACATAACATTGTCTGTTTTGGTGTTTTACCAATTTAATCATCATTTAGGATTTGTATCATCTTTCAGGTCACTCATGTGATTATTATCATAGCTGTGATTGAACCACAACTGTTCAGATGTCCATGGAGTAATACTATTCCACAGCAGCAGGAGCCTCCCTGTTTATTCCCACCTTTCCACCTCCTCCTAGGAACAGTCTGTGGTCTTTGTTAAAGACAATGAATACCATCCTGAAATCTGCTAAACCTGTACTCTGTTAGAAAGGTTGGGTAAAATGTGTGCCACAACTCAAAAAGAAAACAAATCAGGCCAAACCAACCAACCAACCAACCAACCAACCTTTCACGGCTCTGTCTCCATCTCTTCGGTGTCATGTACCCAGGACAACCACAGCTGCTCCTGGTGCCGTAAGGAACAAGCCTCCTCCCCTTGGTTGATTGTAGATGGGTTTCCATAATTAAAAGATATGAAATTCCCCAGAACGTGAGGGGTGATTTTTGTGTGGGAGCTCCACAATTACTCATTTTTCCATCCAAATTATTTCTTCATCTTACTCGTGCCAGTTTCTCCCACTCTTCATCACCACCTCTCTGTGAACAGCACATTCAGTTTACCATGTTTTGTGACGTGATAATTTATTCTACTGCTGTGGTAGGTAGTGAAGCATCTAAAGCTCTCTCAAATCCTGAGCCTCAAATGTTTTGCCTATAACAGATGAATTACAGTCATCTTCATGCTCTCACCCATAAAATTGGCAATGTACTGCAATAACACGGCAAGACTTGTCACAGATTTCTCCTGAGTATGCTCAGTTCTGTACTATAAACTTTACAAACCTCTGACGAGCTCAAAGTCCCTCTGAAGTCATGTTACATAAGCTGCCTTCCTTCTCATGACTTTCTTTCATTTATCTAGTGTTTCCATAAAGATCCCCTTAAATACTTCTGTCTTGGGAAGAATCTTTCTTGGGTGTGTGACACAGTTGATATGTTTTTAGCAACAATGTGATGTCTTATAGTTAGTGGATACTTGATCTTCCTTCCACTGATGTTGGTTGGAGCAGACATAGGTAGAAAAATTCCCATATAATTTTTGTGTTATTCTCCTCCTGTGTGGAACTCATCTAAAAGTAACAGAAAAGACACTAATAAATCTGGCAAGGGAATGCTGAACTAAACAGAGGTATTTTACCCCTCAAGAGAAACAGATTTTAAATTGTAGTAACATTTTTTTGTAGTTTGGTGTTTAAAAGATATTTCAGTTAACCTATCGTAATGTCATATGCTTTATTTTGTGGAGATACTGCTGGAATTAACCTTTTCTTTGAATGTTAAGTATAGGAGAAGAGATTTTTCTCTTCTATTTTATTGTCTGGTCATAGTTCCATACTTAGGAGTGTTGGGCATATTATTCTTTTAATGCCTTCCCCTCAGAAGTGTTTGTAATTCTCTTTATGAAATAACTTGCAATATTAAGATCAGAAGGGGCCCTGAGATCTCTTGGGTTGAATGCTTGTGAAGGAGAGAGAGTGGTGACAGTGAGCGGTGCTCTGGGAGGGGTTGCTCTCAGACCTTATCAGAAAACATAAAATTAACAGGATGAGCCTGCATTAGGAAACCAGTTCTGTCAAACAGCCAATGCACAATTAGAGATCAGAAGGAATGATATTGGATTCTACCTAAGGAAGATATTGTTGTCCAGGGACAATTACACTTAATTTTATAGTGGCAGTATCCCAGCTATCTCCTGGCAATATGTGTGCAAAAGAAGAGACAGCTCCACCCCAGATAGCTCCCTTTGCGTTGGGATCATAGTTGTATCTGTCCTTATTTTGCTCATTACATTTCCTGTCATAGAAAGCTTTTTCTTTTTTTTCTTTTTTTTTTTCATATAGTTTGTTCTGCTCTGTCTTTGAGGAGAGCCAGATTTTCTAAAGATACTTTAGGGTGTCAGTGGATGCTGAGTACTCTCCATTGTGCTTTGAAAAACCCACTACAGACTTTCCTGCATGTAAAGGGAGATTAATAAACCTTTGACGTAATACCCTTTTACCTAGTTTAGGTCTATAATATAGCTATCAAATTTTCTGTTGACTGTACAAATGTAAATCTAATGTATTTTTTTCAGAATAAAAGCCCCTCTTACTACCAAGAGACAAATAAATGTAGGAATTTCTTAGTCTATAGCTGATTCTCACCAGAATTACGGTTCACAAATTAGTGATGAAGCTGAAGTATTGGCAGGGAGGAAGCAACATGCTGAGAATAAAAATGTGTTGTTAAACTAAAAGCAATACTTTCAAATGTCCTAGATGGAAATGTAAAATCTCTTGCACAGAGCAAGATTAATGTCCTTACTTCTAATGCAATAAACTAAAAATAAATAAGTGGGAGTGATACAAAATTCTTATGGGGAATATGCAGTTAACAGACACAGGTAGTATTTACCTTGTTGCCATCACACTTCAGAACCTGTCTCAAGGAGAAACTCACTGACAAAGAGTTTCATCCTTCTCCCAAACTCACTTCCACTGTCATGTCCTTTTGGCATACATTGCTGCTGGGGTGCTAGGGGTAACTAGTCGCTTGATAAGGATAAGGTGATGAAAACTGCAGAAACCATGAGACTTCTTGTTTGCATGTCTGTTTTTATGGCTTGAAGCCACACAGCCATAACCAGGTGGGCTAAGGCTAACATATATTCTTACTTTTCCTCTTCCATTTCCCATTTTTGGCATTTGTTAAGCTAATTTTTGCCTTCTGTCTTAATCATACCTTCCCTCTGGTGTGCTGTCCACTTGTAAGGTAAATAGCATGAATAAAGGCAGCACTAAAATAGCATAATTAAGGACAGCAGAATCTGTCCATCACACTGGCAACTCCTTTATGGGCTCTTTTACTAACTGCGTTTCTAAGGCTGAACACAAAGCAGGTGGCATGTGTGTGAGCTTGGTGTCAGCACAATACATGCAAACAGAAGGTATTGGGAAAGGGACTCAAGCCGGTTTTTGTTACTAAGACACAGTCCCATTCATTTGTTAGTGCCTTCTACCCTTCACTGTGTTATCTCGTGACTTTTGTTCAGGGGCAGTAGTCAGCAGTGTGACTGGGTCACTGAATGGTGGTAGTTACACTGCAAAGATAAATGAGCTCAGAGCTGAATTAGCAAGTAAGTGCTTGAGAATAGGGATTGAGAGTTTAATACACACAGACACCCACAAGAGTTTGGCAGTTATCGGCACTGGTTTGACACGGGCATTACCTAATCCAAATTCCATCAGCTAGGAAAGACATATTTGGGCTGTAATCAAAAAGGACTTAATACAACTTCTAGTTTTTTAAAGACTTAAGTTGAAACTTGCAAGTGTCCAGCACCTGCCTAATGAGGGGGTCTTGCAAATCGCCCTTTGCTCTGAGGCATCTGATGCTGGCTGCCAGCTGTAACGGGAGACTGTGCTAGACAGTGCCCGAGTCACTTACCCATCGGGGTAGTCCACAACAGGCTAAGGGCCAAATCCTCTTCTGTCTGGTGAAAGACAGATCCAGAGAATGCCCTCTGTCACGTGCTCTCTCTTTAAACACACTTGTCATGAACAAAAAGCGGATATCCTTAATGAGATTTTATTATCTGGCCTCTAGACTCTGTCTGAGCCACCCCATCTGTGATCAGCCAACGCATTATGACATCTAGGGAGAAAAGGTATCGTAAATCACCAACTTAACATTGTTCTGGGCTGTGTGTCACCTATTTGTAGATACATTTTTCTGATGAGCTGTGGAGAGATTTTACCACAGGTGCAGAAATACAAACTAAAATTCAGAGCGGAGCAAGAAGCCAGGATGATGGACATAGGAACAAACAGCCTTGCTGTGTTGAGCCCAGCTAGCTATCTCATCTGATTGAGAGGTATTTTTAATTTGAGAGAAGGGGGAAGTGAGCCAGTAGTAGCATTTTATATATAGTATGGCTGGAGAAAGCAATGCTGTGTGATTTACATATCCCTTGTCTGACCTGTGCTTACCCACTTTGGGGGCTAGGCAGCTTGGAGGGGGAGGTAGGGATGGGATTCCTGTGACAGCACACAACACTCTCAAATGTAGACTTTTTGTTCTCTGGTGCCTTGCATTCCAGAATAGTATCAGCAGTCATCTTAAACAGCAAAAGGTAACTAAGCTCAAGAACTAATTCCACCCATATTTTACGGTACATCCTGTTTTTAATGCAATATCCAGTAAACATTTCTTATTTTCATGAGTCCAGTTCTTTCCAGCTTCAGCTATTGGAACTTAAGGCAGTAAAAAGGAGTAATCAAGCTAAGCTGGTCTCTATCTATTGCATTTTTATGATGTAGGCTTTTATATTAGGAGGTTATGAGGAGTTGCTCATGGACTGAATTAATTTCTTGAGACTTCACTGGCTCAGCCAGAATATATAAGACATGATCCATTTGTGTTTGTGCTGGTGAAAACGTTATTGCTTCCATAATATGGGTCTACCTAAGAAAATGCTGCACAAGTACAAATTGTCAGGGGAGCAGTATTAATAATTTATAGTCTCATCATGGCTCTGTAATTGGGCTCACCAATGAAGGAAGAAAGGACGGTGTTAAAAATGAAAGGAAATATTTCTCATTTGCCTCTCTCCAAGGCCACAG